CAATGCCCTGAGCAGCTTGGAGAGAACCCTCATTTCTTTCATTATAAAATTGCTGCAAAGCTGGGATTCACTTGGAGACAAAATGATTTCCTGCTGAGGCTTTCCGCGAGGTGATTAGCGGGGAGAGAGGTAATCAGCTGACCTAATATGCACTGCATTCCCTTCCCTCCTTCCTCCATCGGTGGCCGGGCTGCTGCCTCCTTCACTGGGGCCTAATTGGGGCGGCTTCCCTCTCAGCCTGGCCCGGGCATGTGGCCACGCAGGAGACCATTAGCCGCGTAACGTCGGCCACCGTTGGAAAGGTAAAGAAAACAGTCTTTTTCCCCACGACCTTTGGAGATTGTCTTCTCCGAACGCCTGCTTTGTGCTCTCCCTTAATGAATTCTGAAGACGTTTCCTTTCAGATGGGTGGTGTCACCTCTCGGTGGAGGACAGGCTTGTGTGCGTGGGGATAGCCATGATCCCTGACTTTGTCGCCACGCCTCGCGGGGCCAGGGCACAAACGGAGCTCTCCCCCGGCACCCCATTAGAGGTTGCCCCGTTGCTCCAAAGAATAGGACCCAATCTGCCAGTCGGCTGCCGGGGACCCCATGGTCTTTTTGGGATCCAGCTGGGAGGGAGCAGCGGTCCATCCGCCGTTAGACATCTCTTACCCACCAACCCGATCTAATGACATCAGCGTGATGGTAATTAACGACAGCGACTTCTGTGGATGGAAGTCACTCCAAAGCACTTCCCGTGGAACACTCGGTAACCCCACGGCAAACCAGGTGTTAGCCAACCCTTTTGCAGGTTAGGAGAGTGACGTTTAATTAGGGTCTTGCTTTAAGCCGCGTGGGTAGGGAGTGGAACCCCAGGGTTGTGTGGACCCAGGGACTTGGGGTCCTGGATCCTCAGCTCTTTCCATGATGCCTGTGCTCCTGAGGTCGACGTTTTCAGCCAGTACAGAGCAGAGTGAATTTCCTGTGTGTACTGGCAGGACGAATAAAAATGGGTATGTTGAAAATACTATTTAAGCCTCATTTTGGTTTTAACTGCCTTTTATCTGTTTCATGAGGACTTCTAAATAACGAAAAGGACTTGCATTCAAATATTTTGAGAATCAACTACGTGGAAACCATCGTTAGGATGAATCAGTTTCCACAGTTGGGAGACGATTTTCCCCCCGATTCAGGAATCGTCTCTACAATGCCCCTGATCGCAAACCTCTCCTAAAATCCATGCCGTGATGGGGAGCTCACTATCTCTCTTAGCATTCCAGTCTATAGTCGGGCATTTCTGGGTATTAGACGGTTCTGTTTTATGAAGTGGAACCACGTGGAATTGCCAGAATGGCCAAGTGCAAGTCATTTTATACGTTCAGCCCACGAGTTGAGGCCAAAACTACTTTTTTGCCCTGTTCACTCATTTGCCTTATTTCTGCCCTCACAGTAGGACCAGGCTAGGTTCTGCCTCGTATTTGACCAAGGCCCTTTTAAACGCACATTTAAAGGCACGAACGTTTAAAGGCACATTTCTGCCTTGCATTCCTTCAGCGTCTAGGACCCTTCCAGGGGCTGAAGGTACAGTGGTACCTCTGGGACCCAAGACCATGCTTCAAGTATTCTTGAGAACAAAACAGTACAACTAAATGACCATCTGGTTTTCCGATGTAACCAAACATACCCAGATCCGTCTGTCTTTTTTAATTTTTTTTTTTT